GGAATTAGCAACTATTAGCGGTTGCCTTTCAGTTTCTATTTATAGGGCTATTTTCTGGATTCACACCGTGAATCTCAAATATTCACGTCGTGAGTTCAGTAGTCATCAGGTGCGTCATCGCAACTTGGGTCTGTCAGGCTCCAAAAGACGTTATTAATGAGTTCACGTCGTGAACACTGTGTTCACATTGTGAACTCTAACATAGTGTCGGGGTTTGTGCCCCGAACTTCAGAAATTCATATCTTTCGCATACGAGCTCCATTTTCAACGTTCTTTATATGCACACATAGGTGAGATTATGCTCTACAACTCTCTTTTAGACTTCGTTGGCTAATTTTGACTTTAACTTTTAGTATATTATTTTTAGTAGGTCGGGACAGGAAAACTCCGTTAGGAATTCACAACTCCTTCATCTGACGTCCGTTTTTGTCTGTCTTTTTACTGTTGGACTACTATTGATGAGATCTTCGATTCTCGTTTAGATTGTTTCGACTAGAAACTGCTCGATCTCATATTCAAACTTTGGGCTGCATACCGCTAAGTCGAAACTTCGAAAAATCATAACTTCCTCATACGGAGTCAGATTTAGACGTTCTTTTTATGCATGCTCTCGGTTTAATGTATTCTACGACTTTCGTTTAGGTCACTAGGACTAAATATCACTCTATCGTAAATTCAATATTTAAGTCCTACAGCGTCGTGCCGAATCTGTTGTAAAACTTCGACAGGTCATAACTTCTTCGTTATAACTCGGATTTCAGCTTTCTTTATTTGTACGGAAACCTTGTGACATATACTACAACTTGGTTAAGATTATTTATTCTAAACACTCTTCTATCAAAAAGTCATTTTTGACGCTTATCTTCTCTAAATTGACTAGCCTGGATCTACGGGTGTTACAGATCCATCAGTTGGAATTCGACGAAACATGCGTCCATCTCTTTGTTTTTCTAAGGTCTACAAACCCCACCCAAAAATTTCCTGATCCATGCCCGGAGCTGCTAGCATCGCACCCACCTCTTCGTGGCTTTTCGGTCGTTTTCCGGCCAACTCTGACCACTTCTCGCGATTCTGACACCACCAAAGTGTTTCTTTTGTTCCAAGCTACAAATCCCCCTGATTGAAACTGAACATTCTCACTGAAAAAATTCGTCGGAACTTTGAGCAGCCGCTGTATTTTTTAGAAATCAGAGACTTCAAGGTTTTGGTGAGGGACTTACATTTTAACATCCGTGGGCAACATTCAAGCTTGGGATGTGAAATTCCAAGTCACGAATTTTCCAGGTCTCGTTTTTAGTTTTCAAATTCTGGGAACACTAACAAAACGGGTACATTCTTTCCTTAGCTATATTTTAATTGCATGCGGTGGAAATTTGATCACAAGTGGTATTGCTATGGATTTTGCTTAGGAATTTTAGTTGTGCCCGTATTGTTGAAACTTTGGTTAGAATTATTGGAACCTTTGTGGTGATTTGTGGAACCTTGATTATAATTAAGTAAAAGCACATAAATTTTAAAATGACCATTCAAGAAATATGAAAACCGAAAGTTTATAAGGGGAAAAAGAATTAGTATTGGCAAATAATGTTGCGATACATTATTATTTATAGCACAACACTAATATTATGTTATTAAAAAGAAAAGAGATGTTGCTTATGTTTCATTAGTTTCTTGCCACATTGATGCGAAGTGCAAAAGAAAGCTTTTTTAAATAGAGTTGGTGACAGACAATTTTACTTTTCTGAGAAAATGTTAACGTTAAGTGCTTGATGACACACAATTTCATTATTTTTGGCCAAATTGGACACGCAATCACGGCAATTAAGTGTTTGATGAAATGCATAAAAGAGATTACTTTTTTCTATTCTAGTATCGGATTAGATTTATGTTATTCTGATCATGACTCATTGACGAAGCCAAAATGGTTGTCTAACCAATGTTTGTACAGAGGATGCTCTGTTTGCTGCTAGGCTGTATTATGAGTGATGGATTTATCAAGAATGTGAATATGATACGTAGTTTAATGAGAGTTATATGTTACTTTTGGCATGCACGTATGTTTTTGCTAAAAAAAAAGTTGTAACTTATCTAATCAATTAACATGGTCCTAGGGACCTGGCCTTACTCTAGGCCAGTTTCAAACTTAATTTTATTTATGCATCTAGAACCAACAACGTGCTGGACTGCTGGGTAAATAAAATAAATTAAACAAAAACCAATAAAATAAATTAAACAAAAACCAACTCATGAAAATTGCATATGCTAATTTCTCTAAACAGCATACCGACATAACATCCAGAAATTCAGTGAGTTGCACTGTTTAACATAAAGTAATAAAATAAAGAGCAACTTAAATATAAGATACCATAGTTCATGAGAACTAAAATTCTCGCATGCATATAGACTCTAGATATTCCTTCATTGCGTGAACCTTATCAAGAGATGCATCTTGGTGGTTCTCGATCCACTTGATCGTGTCAGCAATGACGCGCTCCATTTCATTCAACCTCACACTGTAGGCCATATTTTTTATCTTCTTCTTCATGTTGTATATGCAGTCCTCTAAAGCATTGAATGCACTAACTTTCTTATTGTATTCTTCATCCTCGTGTTTGTACTTGTGAGCATCTTTTATCATCTTCTCAATCTCTTCCTTGGAGAGTCTTCCATTTTCGTTGGTAATCCTGAGTTCAGTCGTCTTGCCTGTTGATAATATCTCGACTGTGACTGTGAGGATACCATTTGCATCTATTTCAAGGCACACATCGAGTTTTGCAACTCCTTTTGGAGCCGGTGGTATTCCAGAAACTTTCAACATCCCCAACAAATGGTTATCTTTAGATCTAGCTCTTTCACCTTGATACACCTTGATATCCTCGAAAGTTTGGTTGTCAGCGCATGTAACATAAATTTTTGATTTCTTCATAGGTATGCGAGTGTTCCGTGGGATCACCACATCAAATCTTTCGCCTTGTATTTCTACACCAAGAGACAAAGGAGTGACATCCAATAACACCAAATCTCTACACCTTTGATCACTGCTAATACCACTTAACTTTGCACCCAAAACCGCTGCACCGTATGCAACAGCCTCATCAGGGTTTAGGCTCTTGTATAACTCCTTCCAATAGAAAAGTTTCTGCAACATGGATTGGATCTTTGGTATTCTAGTGGAACCACCAACAAGAATCACATCGCTTACCCATGAAATCTCCATCTTTGCATCACTTAAACATGTCTCTAGAGTCTTCATGCACCGATCAAAATAATCCATGTTGAGCTCTTCAAATTTAGCTCGACTGAATTTCATAGAGAAATCAATCCCCTCATGCAAGCAATCTAGCTCGATCGAAGTCTGAGTATCACATGAGAGAATCCTTTTTGCTTTCTCACAAGCACATCTAAGTCTCCCTAATGCTTTTTTGTTAGGTATCAAGTCTTTTCCCCATTTCCTTTTGAATTCTCCAACACAGTGATCCACCATGCGGTTATCGAAATCCTCACCTCCCAAATGTGTGTCACCAGCAACGGCTTTCACCTCAAACCGACCCCCTTTCAAAATGGTCAATATAGAGACATCAAAAGTCCCACCACCAAGATCAAACACAAGAACATTCTTCTTTTTCTCTTTAGTACTTTTGAAGGGCTCTAGACCATAAGCAATTGCAGCTGCTGTAGGCTCATTGATCATGCTAATGATGTTGAGTCCAGCAATGGCTCCGGCATCCTTTGTCGCTTGACGTTGTGAATTGTTAAAGTAAGCCGGAACCGTTATCACTGCATCTTTTACAACTTTTCCAAGGTATGACTCAGCAGTTTCTTTCATCTTCCCAAGAATCATGGATGAAATTTCTTCAGCCAAAAATTCCTTCTCTTCACCTTTGTAGGTGACAACAATCTTTGGTGTGTCGGCTGGCCCTTGTATGACCTTAAAAGGCCACGATTTCATGTCATCCTGCACTTTGGAATCACTGAACGTCCTTCCAATCAACCTCTTAGCATCTGAACATACAAAGTTAATTAATCAAGTCATGATTAGCAAAGTGAAATTATGGAAATCAATTACTATATCAGATTTTTAGTCCCTAGCTATATAAACCGGCCATCTAGGGGTAGATTTCTTTATAATGGAACAATGGGGTAGGTAATTAACGTTGCTTCAAAACTCAAAAGATTAGTTTATAACTTAACATGGATCAAAGACTTCGGTGGACTTAAAGATATTAGATTCCACTGTTGATGATTCTGATCTAGCGGACTGTTCTTAAATATAGAATTTCCTTAATCAGAATAATATAACAACATTCAATAAAAACATTTAAAAAAAAAAAAAAAAAAGCTCACCAAATATTGTGTTAACAGGGTTCATAGTCGCTTGGTTCTTGGCGCCGTCGCCAATGAGACGTGCTTCATCAATGAAAGCAACACAAGAAGGTGTCGTTCTATTGCCTTGATTGTTGGGAATGATTTCGATGCGATCATACTTCCAAGCTGCAACACATGAATAGGTTGTTCCGAGGTCAATGCCGATGGCCGCCGGTACGTAGTCGTCACCTCTTTTCTCCATTCCACCCAAAATTCTAAATAAATCAATTGTTTGCTTTCACTTTACACCATGACTTGTCTATATACACTTAGAATTCGTATACGTATAGGATTATACTTCATATTTACTTTCCTTATTTGCTTTATCTACCAGCCTAAGTTTCCGTAGTTTCCTAGCTAGATAGGTTTTTTATTTAGTTTTGTTTTTCTCCTATTTGTTTTTTTTTTTTCTGTGAGCAACGGAAATTTGAAAACCCTAATTCCGTTAAACGAGAGAGGGAGGATGGAGTGACAGCTGAATCTTTGGAGGACGGGGGAGGAGTAAGAACCAAGCCAAATACGAGAACGTTTATCGGGTTCTCGAATCTCGGCGACCCACTTCCCCCACTTCCTTATCCTGATTCCTCTGTAGTAGGGTTTGTTTGTTTCAATTGACTGAATCTTCTTTCTCTTAGATGTTGAACAGCCGCCGTCTACCTCCATGTGTGGCGGTTGTGATTGTCGTATGGTTCATCTTCTGTTGTTGTTCCTGGCCGGCGTAGCTGCCGCCGTTTTGAAGCATTTTCTGCTCTTCCCCAGTATGTTGATTGTGGTGACTGTACCTTGGTTTGTGAGTTCTGTGGTGCTTTTTTCTGGTATGTCGAGAGGGCCGTTAATCTATCCACATCTGCACATCCGAGGTATAATCATTGTTGTAGGGTGGGAGTGTAGTTCTTCCTTATCCTTCTAGGTTTCCCCCTGATTTTGTTGCCCTGTATGGTTGGAAACGGGAGAGCTTCCACAGTACCACCACACTTCTCTTGCCATTGCCGATGACAAACACAAAGCCTTGGTAAGATACCTTAATAAGTTTATTTCTTTAATTTTTTCACTTTTCATCATATCTTTCTGTTTGTATAAGTTTTGTTTGCCTAATTGAGCCATAATACTAATTTCTTTGCTTCAGTTATATCTTTATGTAACGGTGTTGTATACAGATTACATGCAACTGATCTTTTTTATCAGATGTTGTACTTCAAGGTTTGTCTGCCACCTGCTCGATGAAATGCTTAAGAGAATTTTGTGTTTTTATTCAACATGCCACTATTCCTTAGCATTAAAAATGTCAGTTAGGTACTTAACAAGGTTAATGCCTTTTATAGGGACAAAAATATAAGGTCCCTGCAAATGCGATACAATTGGTTATCAGTTGTTTGTTAAGTCAGTGAATGATACAAGTAAGATTTATTTTAGAAATTTTTAATTTCTGTTTCTGCTCAAAGTCTCTAAAGGCTAACTTTTTTCACCAAGTATTTATTGTTTATATTGATTTGGAAAGGTAGGTAAATCCGTAACTATGCCATCACCAAGGTGGCTGAAGTTTCAGTTTTTCGTGTTTCATTATTTGACCCCTAATTTTTTCGATCCTTTTTTAGATTTGACGTTTGTAGGTAATTCCTTTCGTTCTCTTTGATTTTTAGTTCGTTTAAAGATCCCGGAAGCCATCACAGCCATAGAGAACCACCACCAGCAACCATATGACCACCAGTTGAACACCACATGTGGGTGATGTTGGGGCTGTTTTCCTATCACGGTGGTGGCTTGCTTTTGGCTGGTGTATCTCCCAAATGCTAGCCTAATATTGTTCATAATTAAGTACAAGAAATCCAATGTCAATAAAAGTCAGATTACTGAAATTATAAACCTATCAAAGGCTTTTCAACAACGTTGTAAATATGATAATTTTATAAATGATAAAGCCTATGGATGTATGCATCTTAATTACTACATCGAGGATGAGACAATGAAGCTATTTGTAATTAGGAAGCTCACTGTTAAATGAAAGTGTCTATATAAACATTTAATTCATCTTGCCATGCATGGAGTAATACATTAAATAGTGTGTATTTTAAAAGCCATATAATGTGAAAAAAATGTGAAGAATGTGGTATCTTTACACGTATTATATCATCGTCATGTTTTGGTCCTTATGTTATGGGTGTGTGATGTGTAAGGAATTTGTTGTTTAACAAAGAAGGGAATAAATATAAAATTTGTGAAAGAAGACTCTTATATCAATAAATGTGTGATTGTAATATAGTGAGTGATAAACTTACATAGATAGAAACTATTCAAGCCAGCCTGTGTCGTTCTTTGGTCTGTGTGGTTGCTTTCCCTTTTGGCATCGTGCCTGTGGTACTGTTAATCATCATCGACCTGACACTCTGTCACTTACAAGTTTCATGACTCTAATTTGTATGAACACTCAAAAATAACAAAACAAAGATTTATTGATAAAAGAGTTCCCAAAAAGGGAAAACTCTTACAATATTTTACATTTTATCCCTTCTAAGGGAGGAATTACTCACTAGACATTGAACTGAAAATTTAATAGATAGAGAGTGTTTTTTGTTGCACTCGTTATTGCGATGTCCCTAAAACAAAACATAACTCTCAATTTATAGATACATTGAGAGGGTCTGATCTTTGCCTATTATGTCAGGCATGACGTTTTTATCCACTAAATATTACATTATTGTGGACAACTGGAAAGCTCTTAATAATGGAGAAAAGGTATTATTATTTTGAGTGGCGGGGCCATTTGACACGTGAAGCATCTTTCTTTAAGATGATGAGGATTTGTCATCTTCAGAGGGGGGTCCCTCCTTTGTCTCCGAATCTTTGCTTTCGCAAAAGTGACAAAGATGTTCTTCGAAAAGTTGTTCTGCATGTCGGCAGAAGTGCTGGCGTGTAGCATTGGATACTTCCATGTTATTTTTCATGAATTTTTCTCCAAACTTGGAGGCTTGACGAAGATCTTCTTGGCTGGTGTTGTTGTAACTCCAGCTTGTAATTATACAATGTGAATCGGTATAATTAATCTTCTTTTTTGAACCAGAGATAATTTCAATGATTTTTTCTGATATTCTTCTTAAACCATTGATGCGATTGGGATGAAGAATTTCTGTGAAAGGTAAATCTTTATCTTCCATTGGTTGAGATTGTTCAATCTCTCTGTTGGCTTTAGAAAGACCAATTTCCAGAAAGTGGTATGGAGAAAGAGTTGATTCTTGAATCCATTCTGGGAGTGAAGAGATGCATCTGATGTAGATCGGATTATCTTTTGCTTTAAGTACTTTCTTTCGAAAGTTCTTAATGGATTCTACCATGCTGCTTGGGAAGAATTTGAGTTCTTGAAGGTTGCAACTTGGGTAGATATTGTCGATTAGTCCAGCTTGAAAGGCTTGGTAGACTAATTTTGCATCTGCTCCTTCGAGAAAGTTGAACAGACTTTTTGTTTTCTTGTCCGTAGTGAAAAAATTTTCATGAACAAGGTCTTCTGGGCATGCAGCTCTTGCTTTCTTCCAGATTGTTCTGAAATCTTCAAAAGAGATTTCAGGATAGTTAACCATTTGTTGAACGTCAATTGGAACGTCAAACCTTTGGTCTCTGTGGGCTTCTTTGACTTTTTGAATTTTTGGTCGAAGAAGTGGTTGGTTAGTCTTGCTTGTATCGTCTTGATAAGTGGCAAGGCTTAATCTTGCAGATGTTTCATTTCTGAATTTTTTGCAAGTAACTTTATCAACTTTACAGAAGGTTTCTGTAATTCCCCAGTCAGTATGAACACCGGCATGGGGTCCTTTATAGATTACATAAAATCTTTCAGCTTCTTTGTTCAGAGCTTTTTTGTAATCTGGTGTAAACTCCTGCACAGATTTGTTAGTGGGTGACAAAGTTGTCATTTTACTGATTCCTTCAGTACAAGGATTGGGATCAACCAATAAGCTAGTTTTTCCATTAGGAAGAGGAGTAGCTGTCTCCTTTATTATGCTTTTTAGCAAAGCATCAGCTTTCAACGGATTTGTTGATTCTTTACCATGTGCGTTTGCACTGGAATAGCCTTTGTTTTTGAGCTTTCGCTTTCCGGTACATTGGTGACCGTTGTTACTTGTTCATACAAGTTGATTTTCTGCTCAATTGCAGATAGCTCTATGAGGAGCATTTGTTTCTTCATCCTCAAAATGTTGAGGTCTTCCATTTTTGTAAACTCAATTTTTGTTTACTTTTCTCTCTAATCTCCCCCTCTCTTTTTTGTAGGTGAAGTTTTTGTGAGGAAATATGTCATGAGGATCATATCCTTTTATAGGGCTCGAGAGGAGCGAGTGAGATCATGGATGATGTAAGGCATACCTGAAGTCACGAGTGAGGCAGTCTGCCAGTACGTTTTTGTTTCCTGCGAGATGTTCAACAGTGAATGTATATCGTGAGAACCACTCTTGCCATCGTATTAGCCGGCCTAATTTGTTATCTCCTGCAATCTTCGTTCGGAGGAAATAAGTAAAATTTTTATTATCTGTACGAACCAGGAAATTTACTGGTGTTAAATATACAGAGAATTTTGTAATAACTCTTTTTACAGCGAGTAATTCTTTTTCATTGCTATGGTAGTTTTTCTCAGCTGCTTTGAAACTGCCAGAGGTGTACCTGCAAATTTGTTCTTCGTTTTTGGGGTTTTTAGCTTTTAAAACACCTCCCCAAAATTCATCAGAAGCATCAGTTTCAATAATTAAACTGTCTTCAATGTTTGGAAGATAAAGTTTTGGAAAATTGATTAAAACTTTCTTTATCTTTTTATGTAGTCTGTATCAGCACTTGACCAATTCCAAATGACATCTTTTTTTAATTTTGCCTGTAAAGGTTTTCTCATGGCTGCAAGTTTTTCAATATATGTTTCAGCATAAGTCAAAACACCAAGAAATCTTTGTAGTTGCTTTTTGTCTTCTAAAACATTTGGAAAGTCATGTAAATGTTCAAGAATATGCTTTTGAGGACAATGAGTACCCTCATTTATTTCTAAACCCAAAAAATTGATTTTTGTTTTGAAAAGATGAGCTTTCTTTTTTGAAAGTATTATTCCATATTTTAAAATAGTTCTGAGAACCTGTGTGACATGAACATAGTGTTCTTGTTCATTTTTGCTGAAGATCATGATGTCATCAACGTATACAGTGCAGAAACCTTCAAGGCCTCGAAGAGCGTTCTGCATGTGTCTTTGAAAAATACTAGGAGCTTGTTTAAGCCCAAAGGGTAGTACTTTCCATTGAAAGAGTCCATCAGGACATGTGAAGGCAGTGAGAAGCTGCGATTCTTCATCAAGTAGAACTTGCCAGAAACCTGACTTGCAGTCGAAACTTGAATAAATTTTTTCCTCTTAGAAGAGTCAAGAGTTCGTGCATATTGGGAAGATTATGCGAGTCTCCAATAGTTGCATCATTGATTGCTTTGTAGTTGACAACCATGCGCTTCTTTCCTCTTCTTTTCTCTGCTTCTTTATTGACAAGAAAGGCAGGAGACATATGAGGGGATTTTGATTCTATAATTAGTCTCATATCAAGTAATTCCTTGATTTGTTTGGAAAATTCTTCTCTATCTTGTAAAGAGTAAACCATAGGTTTTTCTCTAATAACCGTCTTGGGATTAATAAGCTTAATTGAAGCTTTCATCCATCCTTTGGTTTTATTTGGATCAATAGGATTTTCAGAACAAACTTTTTCAAGAAGATCCTCAATCTGTTTGAACCTGGTAGTTTGAATAGAAATAATCTTTTCTTTATTAATCCCTTCATGGGTTATATTAGTACCTGGAATTTGTTTTTCTTTAGAACCTTTTTCTTGAGTTTCAAGAAAACCTGGTTTTCCTTTGCTATAGGCCTCTGTAACCTTTTTTATAATTACCATATCATTATTAAGATGAAAGGCGATTCTATCTATCCATTGTATGAATGGTCCATAAACTTGACAGAAGTTGTTCCCAATTATGATATCAATTCCTGAATTTTGTTGGTAAATAGTGGGAACGTTGAAATGTTCTCCTGAAAGTTCGAGATTAATGTTTCTACAAACTTTATTAATTTTTATGGTTTCACCATTTGCAATAGTGGCACTAATTTCTTTGGGAGCGTTTTCCCAGAGTTCATCCGGAATGATGAATTTGCTTGCAAGACATAAAGATGCACCTGTGTCTACAAAACAATGTACTCTAAATTTTTTATATCCTTTAAAGTTAAGGAAGGCAGAAACATAGATAGAGTTTGGATTAGTAAGATTCATGATAATGGAATCATCAATCTTCTGGAGGTTTGCGCAAAAATGGTTAATCTCCTCCTCCCTGAAAAGTGGGGTCTGTATGGGACTAGTCTGAGTCATCCGTTGTTGATTCGTATTCATCAGTGTCTGATGAAGATTCTGTCTCAACATGATATATAAAAACATGTTGTGTACCATCATACTCTTCTTCAAGAGCTTCATAGCCCCCATTGTTAGCGGTTTGTAAAACCTTGACTTTGTCAGGGTATTTCTTTCTATTTGGACATTCATTGGCGTAGTGTCCTTCTTCATTGCAGATCCAACACCTACATTTTTTCTTTCCTTGCGGACAGGAAGTAGTCTTCTTAGGTGTTTCTTTTGAAGGTTTTTTGAAGTATTTTCCTGGAGAAAATTTTCTTCTTTTCTTTTTCCAAAAAGATTTGAATTTCTTTTTGTTTTTATACTTTTTCTTATTATAATTTTTCTTTCCAATATCAAAGTTTTTGAAATCAGAGAGAATGCTACAACAATCTTTGCTTATTGTTTTAAGTTTTTGTTGTTTATATCTGTCTTGACAGATTCTATCAATTTCTTCTTTTGCAATTTTTGTTGCATAAGAAAGACTGGTTTGCTGGATTTCTCCAGTAACTTCTTTTTTCCATCTGTCTGTACAGGTTTCTCCAATAATTGGAATCTTCATGAGGTAAGCAGATATCCATTGTGCATATTCACTTCTTTGTGGAATATCATATAGATATGATTCATACATACAAGTGTATTTGTCGAGAAGACTAATATCATGTAATTGGAGTTTTGTCATTGAAACTCTTGCTATGTCAACTTTCTTATTAATGGTGTAGTCTTTATTAGAAATATAATCAAGACCTAAGAAAGTAGTGTATATGACATTTATGATATTATCAAAAAGATCTGAACCATGCATTTCTTCATTCCAATTATTGTTTCTTAGGAATTTTTGTACAATTCCATCAGTTTTGTGTTCTAAAAGTAGTAGAACATTTTTTGCTTTTTCAAATTCATCTGGGTTTGTCTGTAAGATTAGTGAAATCTCAGTAACCCATTTTTCTACAACTCTTTCTCTGAGTTTTAGATCTTGGATACAATCAATATTGAGTACATTGATCGTATTGGATCCTTGACCACTATTTGGAATACCATTGTGGACAGGCATTTTGAACTCATATTTCTTTTTATTGCCTCTTCTTGTAGCTGTATAAGAAGATTCTGCTTCATCATCTTCCATATCCGAATATTCGAACTTAACAGTCTTTGTATTTGTTTTAAAGTTATCTTCTTCTTCTGATTCAGTGTCAGGTTCATTTATTTTAGTCATTCTAAAATATTGATCAAAAAGTTTGGGTTCTTTTTGATACAATTTTTCACATTCTTCAGTTTCTAATGATAAAAGTTGAATAAGTTTTTGGTCAGCTTTATCATAATCTTCAAATTGAAGGTTAAAGAAATATTTCTCGAGTTTCTCAGAGATTGTTTCTTTCATTTTTACTCTTTCCTGAAAATGTCAATTTTCTGGGAATTTTTTGAGCTTCCTAAGTCAGGGTTTCCAACACTAGGATTGGGAGGTGAGTATTTCTTAAGACCTGAATATTTTCCTGGCTTGGATTTTTGTTCTATGATGGAGATATTTTTGATGTGCTCAAGAATGTCTTTATTACAAGGGCAAGAGTCAATCTTTTCAGATAACTCCTTAATAATGTCTGCAATAATTTTTGCAGATGCTACTTCCAACTGGGCAATGGTTACGTATTTATTGACTATTAAGTCCAAGTTTATAATCAGACCATCTATTTTTTCATTAAGGAGGTTGATTGATCTATTGAGCTCGGGTATCGAGGTGGTTGATCTATTCAGCTCGGGTATCGAGGTCATCCTATTAGTTGTTTTAACTGATCATGTATATTAGTGATCTTAAGGTTGATTTCCTTAAGAGTGCCCTCAATATTTGCCTTTTTGGCGACTTCTTCAACAAATTGGTTGTTTTTTAAAGAGTTTTCTAAAAGAATAGAATGTTTGTCAATAGACTGGGTTAACTTGATAGTTAATTTATTTTGTCTTTCAATAACTTCCAAGAATTTTCCAAATCTTTTTTATCAAGATTGTTTTTAACCATAAAGGCTAAATCGTTTTTAAATTGGTTAAAAGGTATTTTATTTTTTGAAATATCTTCAGAAATATCTTTTGAAATACCAAGATAATGGCTTATTTTTGAAGTTTTTAAGAGGCATCTTGCAATGATCTGGTTGAGATTATTGCAATGATTTACAATTGTTTGAATACCGGCTTTTCCTGAAGTAGAGAAAACGTATTCTTTCTTTTCAGTATTATCGTCAAGAGTTTTAATTTTGACTGTTTTACCTTTTTTATAGAAATGAGGAAAATCAATTTTATTATTCATTTATAATGTCAGTGATTTGTTTGATATTCTGGCGTAGACTATCAATTTTTAAAGACATGTTTCTTATTAAATTATTATCTTTTCTTTCCGAGCTTTCTCCTATGTGGAGTGAATCCATAGAAATTCTTGGTCTAAGAGTTTCTCCTAGAGCTTTTTTATTTCTAGCTATATTTAAAACCCAAGAGTTTTCTTGAGGATTTATGTCGCAGAATTGTTTATCTTTGACATGGCCTATTTCTGAAAAGACATCATCAAGTTCGATGTACTCGTCTTTCTTATAGTCTATGCTATGGTGACTGTTGGTCAGGGCATATCCTATAAGATATGTTATGGTGAATGGTTTATCACCTGGACTCATAAGGTCACTTCTTTCAAAGTGATGTATAAAAGATAAGGTTTTATCTATATTTGCAGATTTTAAATCCAGAGCAAACTTTGGATAGACTGAAAACATAAACTTTTGGTAAGCAAGGTTTCCCTTTGCAGCACCTAAGATGCAGTCCTGTCTGTCAGTAATTCTGTTATCAATTAAGGCCATTTTTATGGGAGAATTTATTCCTGCTTGGAATTGGGCCATTTTTGCCCCTCTTTTGTTTTTTGGTTTCCTCCTTGGTGTTGCAGGCAGTTTGCTCGACTCCGGTGTGCTTGAAAGCATTTATATAAAGTTTGTTCCTCATCGCTATAGTCTTGCTGCTTTCTTTGTTTTGGACCATTTTGCCCCTACTTACTTCTGTTGTTTCTTCTTACAACAGGTTGCCATTGGAACCTTGACTTTGCACTAAACAGGTAAATTTTCACCATTTGTTTAAAACAATTCCTAAAAGAGCAGTTTACTTATTCTTTTCGATTGATCAGCCACCGACGTCTTGCCTGGTCGATACCGATACCTTTGCCTTACGGAAAAGAGTATCCGGGCGTATTATATTGTTTTTGTTGTTCAAACTTGGCAGATTGAAGATGCATAGTAAGTGTTTGATGAAATGCTTTAAAGAATATTAGTTCTTCAAACAACAATTTTTTAATTCTTTTGTCAGATTTATCAACATGTGTTGCTTCACATAATAAATAGTGAAGTACATGCTGGTAAATTAAGTGTTTAAATGACCTAGAATGGAATTAATACTTGATGTACCTAATGCTTATGCATTTGTAAAGAATTTAGATTTCAGGTTGATAACAATTTGTGTGTCAGGGCCTTCTTTTTTACTGAAAATCTCCAATTATGATGGTGTTTCCCTTTATATATATTGCAGTCCTTGTACGAAATTTCTTTTTTCAGTAGGAAATAGGCATGATAGGGTATGCGATATCTCATCATCAATAGACAAAACCCCAACTGATTTATATATTTTTCTAATATAAATTTACACGCCCGACTTTCTTTTTTCTTTTGTCCCATTCAGGTTGAAATTTATGGATCTTGTGGTGATATTTTTAGTGTCAAACCGGACATTTGAGAGGAACTAAAAGCAGCTGGACTATTGCTTATAAAAGTGTTTATGATTTTAGCTGTTTGGTTTCTTTTTTTGGTTGCTATTTCAATATCATTGTAAATGATATTTACAGACTTCTACAAGAACGAAAAAAGAAAAAGAAGAAGCCAAATAAGGATGAAATAAAGTTTCCTAGGCGTGAAGAGATCAAATTTAGAGATGTTAAACTCCACCAAAGTTGGTCGATGTTCCCAAGGTTAGATTTCTTATTCTTGAAATTGGCTAAATGTCACATGATTATGATTATTTAAGGATAAAAACATGAGAAAAAGATTAAAATAGCCACTTTTTCTTAATGATTTTGTCAAAAATAACCAAGAATTTCACATATTTCTTAAGATAGCTTCATTTTGCAATGCCCTAATGGTGCCAATATATATATATATATATATATATATATATATATATATATATATATATATATATTCTTTTTATCTAATACCATTTATGTCCACTTTTTTTAAAAAGGGACCTGTTATCCAGATTTTTTTAAAGATCCGCAAGTTACTTACTCTTGCTGCCACATTAAACGACTTAACACGTGCACTCAAGGTAAAAGGACAATGCATTGATTGAAATAGTGTGTGTACGTAATTATGTATATATCTGTTATAATCTGATTTGAGATTTTTTATAATGAATTAAATGAGAAGCTCCCACCAAATCATCCAACACTTAAATCAGATCAGATCACAGGCTTTTGGAGAATGGTGAGTGTGGCATGCCAAACTCTTAGAAATATAGATTGGAGACACGACAAGGAATGATATTTATCTCATGCTTATTCATATTAGATGGCTATTTCAAACTTTTGACTTAACATAACACACACATAACAACATGTTTGCATTTTCATGCTACTAAGGGAAACATAATTGAATATTTTATGTACCTTTCCCTTTAATAGCAACGTACTTTATTTTTTACTTTTAATATTAACTGATTACGTTTGTGTATCGGTTAAAAATCTTAGTTCATCCCTATTACAGGTAAAAAAAACTAATTACATTGATTATATCTACAAAAAAAAATTGCTATGTCCTAAAATTTACCGTTTTCTTTATTCATGGGCATTAGTAATGAGAAAAAAAGGTGAAAGAAACGAAAGTAGAATGCTATAATATAATACACAAATCAATGAAAGTAGTTTGTTATTTGTTGCAGAGTGCTGTGGACGAGGAGTTGGAGAACTTAAACGAAGTTGTAATGAAGCGTTATGACGGTGGAGAGTCAAAGGGAAACTTTGACCCCGAAAAGCATATATAGGCTTATTTACCTGTTAGACTCAATGAGCAACAAGTGACAAATTTATTGCAATGTATAATTCCCATTTCAATTCTTAGGGGTTACTTTGCTTACATGTCAAATTTCATTAAGATTGTTGCTCTTTTTCATCCCTCAAGTCGGTTAAGCTTTGGTAAGTAAGTCGGTTAAGCGGTGCTTCCAGTGGAGACGTTTCTAGACCTCAAGAGCTGGAAGCAAGTCGGTGAAGCTTTGGTGGTACTAACCCCGGTTGGAGGCGGTGTTAATTTGTGAGCAGAAGAGAAACAGCGTCAAAGGCAAAAGAAAAAGAGCATCGATCGCGAGAAAAGAAAGATAGAAGAAAAGAAAAATCTAGGAATGGTGGGTGATGTTGATGTGTTGGCGATGGAGGGTAACTGCTGTCTCTTTATTATAAATTAATGTATACGTACATTACACTATAGATTTTGCTTTCAACTCAAATATGTTTAAAACTATTATTAGAATGATTAGTTACTTAAAAACGATGATGATTAACCAAAAAATATCCAAATAAATGGTTTTAACTTGATTAACAGGTATAGTAGTTACAAATAATATTAAAAATCAAATTTAAATAGAAAAGATGCATAAAATCAAATTTATCTTTCTTTTAAAACACTTGCTGGTATGTGAAAAAAAAAGAATAATTTTTATGAATTATTCATCTTCCGATATATTGGTAGCAAGTTCTCTATAATATATGTTTTTTTTTTTTTTCTTTATAATAGATTGTACTTTGGAAAATCCATCCAATCATAGCATTCAAAATTTATAAGTGGAATTTTAAAACTACAATTATGTAATGGATTTAATAAATAGATCATAGTATGTTGCTATTTCTTGCATGGATATTAATTAGCAGGTAATCCATTGTAGTTTTGCTGGCTGGTTACAGATTTAGAATGGGATTCTAACTTTGTAATGGTATATAAATTTTAGGAGGTTCCGACACAGAAAATGGAATGGAGCAGGTATATGATTTCTCGAGATTGGGTTGCTATTTCTTGCATGATAGTTATGGATTGAATTGTATTTTTATTCACCATTTTCTTTTTTGCAGGTTGTAATCAAAAAAGAAAGAGGCAATCCTCATCCCATTGTTACTTGAGTTAAATATGGCTGCCGGAGAAAAAGTTTGTGGTTCCATTGAAGGTGTTAATCTTCTTGAACCAAATTCTAATATTGACATGCTTTGTTGGCTTAAACAGATCTTGATTTATATTATCTTCACATTCAGGTACAAAATGGGTTATCGGCAAGAAATAATATCAAGATTTATATTACATAACGTAACATTCATATTTTGTGGATGATATCTTTCAGTCATGTGACGAAGCAAATGGCACAACTGCAACTCAGTTAAGCGTCTACCAACAACCCCTATGTGTGCTATGTTGCTATTTGTAGAAATACTTTTTTGCTAAACCATATATTACCTCTTTGCCCTCCGGGACCCGTTTATGCGTTTGGAACCGAAACATGAAGAATGGAACCGGGTTCATCCAAATGTGCTTCATTGGACTGATGTTAAGTGGGTTTTTTTTTTTTTGCATATCTTAGAATAAAATACTAAAATAGGGCAATGCATTTTCATTTTAATGTTTAGCTTAATGTCCTTTATTTTTATTATTTTAAGTATCAAAATTGTAAAAGGGTGAATTGCAGAGAATAGCAATATACTTAACTGTGGCTACCAATTAATACAATGTTCTATACTTGAATACAAAAGCAACACTTTCCAACCCCCACAATGCGGGGGAGCGTATCTACTTATTATTATTATTATTATTATTATTATTATTATTATTTTTACTTTTACCCTTGCATTAAATTTACAAAAACAAAGAAAAGAAGATAAATAGGTTTTATACGTGCCCCACCTGATAACATTTAAGCTGCCTTTTTTTTTTTTTTCTTGTTCAGAACTTGTATAACACAAATTAATATGTTTTCCTTTCTGTCCATCTTACTAACTGATGCTTTTTATCCCTCAATTTATTCATTTTTTTTTCTTATTTATCATTTTAATGAAAGTTAACAAAAGTTCATTTGTTTTCTCTTATCCATCCACGGTATTATCTCTTGCACCTGTTATGAAAATTAATTGTTTCAAACTAATACAGATGGTAAAAAAGTATTCAAACCATTTCATATCAAATCATTTTAAAATGTTTCCGAATAAAAATATTCGAATCATAATACCATCACATAAAAAATTGGATTTGTATTTAAATCAAATAAGTTGCTCTTAGACACTTCATTATTCATATGGAAGTCACCGGTAGAACTTGAAGGGTCGTGTGTTTGTGATGATTCTCCAAACTCAAATCTTGAAGGATCTAGTGCGGTAGAAGTTATTCCTCTTTTCTTTTTTGATTTTGGAGGTCTACTTTTAGGTTTATGAATCATTGGTTCAAACAACGCATCGGATTCGGTCAAAAGCTTGGTAATCATAGAAGTAGCAATTTCTTTTTTACTTAGACGCCACTTTTTGTATCTTGAAGACAACTCAGTAAGCAATTCATCAAATTTGGTGACACTATCATTTTGTGAATCATCTTCCGAATTCAGACGTTCCGAATTCAGACGTAATGTATCAATCCTCCGTTGTGGATGAATAAGATCCAAAGAAAGTGGCATTCCTTGCAACTGTTTTATCTTGTGAGCACAAGGAAGACCCATGAGTACCATAAAATGACTGGTACAAGCCGTCATTATACCTGAAAAAGCAAACAATTATTAAAGGTTAATGTAAAAATTAATGTTTTACAATAATCTAAAACTATAATCTTTGTAAATATTACCATTTTTTATTTTTTCACATTGCATATGTATCTTCTTTAATGCAAAATGAGATCTATGAGACAAAAGCCCTCTAAAAATCAGCATGTCACAATTATGAAGAACTTGAATTTTTTCACTTGCGAGTTTCACTTTAATCTCGTTGAATTCATGTTTAATTGCAAGAAAAATCTTTTCGTTAACTTATAATAAGCCACCGATATATACTTGTAGATACAACTTGAGTTTGAAATGAGCACCTTTAGCCCTTAAAGATGAATGATTATCAAAATGCAAGTAGTTTTCTGTCTAAGCAATAACAAACTTTTCTTTCCAAGGAAACCATGTGTTTTTCATATAATCGATTCCAACTTTCTTCGTCTGAAAGCAACTCAAATTCACCCTAATTATTATCAAAAATAGTTGTTGTAGTTGAATACACTACATTTATCCAACTTGACATAAATGTATTAAACTCTTCTGCATGTGCAAAAAGTTTCTTGCAATTCGCCAAAAAGTTCTTTTTAATATGCCAAATACACAAAAGGTTTGTCGTGTTCGGAAATACCATCTTCATAGCATTCAATAATGCCAACTCTCTATCAGACATAATCATAGACGGTTCACGATTTTCAAGAGTTTTCTTAAACACACTTAATGCCCAAATATAGCTCTATACATCCTCTTTCTCTAGAAAAACAAACCTAGAATAAAAAGATGTATGAAAGCATGAAACCCTAATGATATCAAGGAGAGGCATGTTATACTTGTGTTTTTTGTATGTGCAATCCATAACAAAGATAGTTGTGAAGGCGTTGGTAAATATAATTGACAAGGGATGTGCAATGAACAAATGATTTATATACCCTACTTCATTATGTAAAATATCATAAATAAAACCCTCTTTTTCAAGCTCTTCAAATAAAGCACTAACCATTGTATGATTTTTCATGTTTTCCTTGCGGATTTTCAGCTTCGGGTTGTATATAGTTAGAGAATTTGCTAGAAGGTTATGGTTTTTCTACTGCAAAGAAGAAATAATTTGTCTTGGGTGTCTGCTAGAAAGCGACATGTTTTTGACACTTTGTACGCCATCTGATGATAATCGACGAAATGATGGATGCCCAAACATATCAGTAGATGGTTCATGGTTATGAGTCAAGTTTTTAGCATTAACTGCCCAACAATCATCAATTCCTTTTTAACCTACAATCTGGAAGGGGCATTTGATCAAACGAGATCCGGTGTTTCTCTTTCTTTTATTGTCAATACACAATCTATCTCGATAGAAACTGCCTTGGTCACATTGCAACTTGACATATTTGTCTTTACTTGAATCTCGAATAGATAATTTATATCCTTTAGCGTAATAAAAGTCTTGTACATTCTTTAGTAATTTATCATATGAATCAAATTTGGAGTTAGATAAATAAAGTTCTTCTTTTTCTATCATATGACTTGATGAATCCATTCCAATTGTGTTTGAAGCATAATATAAAACATAAATCAAGTTAGTAGTTAGTGTATGATGCCTTATAACATAATATAAAACATAAATGAAGTAGGTTATCACTTTTACTTCATGTTCATGCAAAAGAATAAGCCTTTACGTGATGTTTATATTTGTACTGTACAAATTATTTCACCATTCATACGAATTATTTCACCATTCATACATGTTGTCTATGTATTAAAAGGTTAACTTTTACTTCACATTCATGCAAAAGAAATAAGAAACCAAAGAAATATGGAAATTGCTTCTTTTCCTCAGTTGATAAAGATATTTGCTAAAAGCCTAAAACTATAGTTATTGTACATGTAACACCCCGATTTCCCGAGTATCAATTTAAGGTTAGAAATTATCATGATTTTGAGATCTACTCGACGAGTTGTGTGACATCCCCAAAATCACGGCCAGAAAAGACCGGTTTTGTTTATACTTTATTTCAAAATCAGAGTTATCTTTTAATAAAAAGGGTTGTGGAATTTGTCCCAAAACAATAATATGATAAAGATTTATCAAAAGCATTTCCATAGAAATGTATTTCATTAAAAGACTCGGGATGTCATGTTCGTACAGATCAAAAGTATAAACAGTACAATATAAGCCTTACTACATTATTTCATATCTACAGGCCTATATCCGTAATCCCTCGTCCAAAACATCACACCTATGCTCATGCGCCACTACCTGTAATACATAAAATTGAGTGGGTCAGGCTTGGGAGCCTGGTGAGC